CCTGAAATGGCTCTTGCTGGGCCCACCTTGTTGCTAAATCCACTGGACGCTTCTTGGTCCACATGCCTCCTCACTCCCCCACAGTGCTCACGCAGCTGCTGCGTTTCCTTCCTGACACCTGCTGGGCTTCTGGGACACCCGCTCTCCTGGGTCCCTTGTCACCCTCTAGCCCATGTTCTAGGCATCTGTAGCAGCCTCCTTCTCTTCACCCATCCTTTCAGGGCTGGCTTTCTCCTTTTACATCCAGGCACTGTGAGCATGTTGATGGTGGTTTGAAGAAACCTCTACAAACTGGATTTCTGGATCCCTTTCCTACCTAGGCCCAGACTTACCATCTGACTGCCTGTATTCCCTCCTGCCCCTTCCCCAGCTCTCAAACTCCTAGCAGGTGAGAGAGGTTCAGAATCACAATCTTCCCTAGTCCTGGCTCAGCTCCTGTGCGCCCCATGTAATCCACAGGTGCGGCCATCCACACAGCCAACAGCCAAGACCGAAATCCTCGCCTTGTCTTGACATCTCTCTTTTGTCACAAGGACTGTCCTAGACCCACATTCACCATCTCTTTCCTGGCCACTGTAACTTCTTCCTAAATGGTCACACTGCCTCTTGCTTCCCCCTCTCTACCATTCAAATGTCTTTCTAAAAAGGCAAATACAGGAGTTATTCCCCACTTAACACAATGGTGCCCCATTATCTCCAGGTTGGAGTTCAACTGACCCTTCTTGATTTGGCTTCCATCAATCCCTCCAGTAATCTCTGCTACTCAGCTATACCTCAGCTAGTAGTTCCTAAACACAGGAGACCAGTTTTCTTACTGATCCTGGCCCACCAGGTCCCTTTCCTTAGAACGCTTGCCTCCGCCAGCTGCTGCCTATTCATCCCTCAAGATTCATCCCAACAATTGCTTCCCAGCATCAGGGCTGGCCCAGGCCCTCTGTGCTGCCAGAGCTCCCGCTCCAACTCCAATCACACAGCATCCTCATGGAGTCAACAGGGATCCACATTCAAGTCCAGGAGAGGGCCTACACCAGATCTGCTCTGAGACATTGTCAGCCTTGCAAGAACTTACATGCTACTTTCAGCCCTCTGGCCACAGCTGTGGCCAAACACATGCACCTAGAGGCCCTAGGCTTTGTCCTTCTCTGAGTCGACCTTTCCCTCTCCTTGGAGCTCTCAATACCTCCTCCTATCTAGTCAGTGTACCCTAGGCCTCTCCTACCATGGGGTGGGGCCTGCTAAGGGCAGACAGTAGGGATCAGCTCCTTTGGTGGTCATGCACTTGCTAGTGTACAAGCGAGCATTCATGTGCACACACAGCCCTTTTGCACATATGAATCTTCCTGTGCACACTGTGTACACTGACACACGGGTAATCCCTCCATGCCCATGCACTCACATACTGACAACCGTGGCAAACAAGGACCCACAGATGCCTACCAACCCCTGTATATACAACTAGGCATATGGGCCCCTGCATTCCTGAGCAGGCATTCCCACAGGTGTGTATGGCCTCCGTGATGGCTCAGTGCCCAGTAGGGTGCCACAGACCACGCACCTGGTTGATGACATAGATGCCGTAGCGCAGCCGCTGCCGCCTCAAGATGGGGTGTAGATAATGGAGCCAGTAGCGTAGGTGATGCTCCCGGTGTCTAAAGGGGATGATGACGGCCACTGTCTGGGCTGGGGTGCAGTCAGGTGGAGTATAGCGGCCGCCCAGGAGCACACCTGGGTTCTCCCTCTGCACCCGCTCCAGGGGCATGGGTGAAGTGAACTCGATCAGCAGTCGGCCCACTGCAGGCAGGACAGTGTTAGGAATCAGGGCCTTCGCCAGAATCCAGGGACACTGGCCTCCTGGGAATGGGTGATGGAACCCCAGGAATGACCCTTTTTCAACAGACCTGGACCCATGGTACCCCCATGGGTCTAAGACTCCATTCCCCTGTCACGTTGGTAGGACCCCCTTCCCACCCCTATATACAGGCCCTACCCTGCAAGCTCACCAAGACCCTGTGGCAAGTCAGGACAAGGTGGCAGGACAGGAGCTGTAGGGCCAGGCTTGGCACTGGGGACCTCAGGGAGCCCAGAACTGGGGGCAGTGGCGTTGGGCCTTGAGCAGTTGGTGCTGCTGCTGGCTGCCAAGTGGAGGGCACGGACGGAGCCACGGGCACTGAAGCGGCTGAAGAAGGCCAGGTGCTGAGCGTAGACGTCAAAGTAGAGGATGACAGCCACAAGGAAGTGCAGCAGGCAGAGAAGAAGCACAGCCTTGCAGACCCGCTCCAGCGTCCCCCCCAGCAGTCTGCTCATCCCGCAGGCGGCCGCTGGCCCGCCCGATGGGCCGGGGCATCCGGCTGCCGGCCTGAGCAAGGAAGGAGAAAAAGAGACCCCACAGGTCAGAGAAGGATGGGCAAGGCTGCCTACCAGCCACCAGCCCAGTGGTTCACACTCAAAGACCCATATCATACTCAAAGACTTGCCTGCTCACACCACTTGACACTCACAGAGTCACATTCTATCTGCAAACACTCAGTTGGCAACTCAAGGCTCATTTACGTTCAGGCACACTTCAGCACTAAAGCACATGAACTTACATACTGCCGTCCTCCCTGATCCTTATGCAAACACAAGCAGGTACACTTCCTATTGCACAACTACATATATACTTCTAAGGAATGAAGACACATCAACTCTGAACACACAGGTTTATATCTAAGCATGGAAACACACTTACAGACCCTCATGGGTCTTAACTCAGGGCTCACGGCTTAGGAAGGGGGAGCATTCACTGAGTACCTACCATGCACTGGTAGGCACATGCAGCAGCACTTTATACTCATAACTTTTCGGTCCTTCCAGGAGCCGTGCTGGGAAGTGATTCACTCATTCAGGTCCCAGTGGCAAGCAGGCCAGGCCAACTGGGACCAGGTTGGGAGTGGCCCTCAGCATCCACTGGGCCCAATGCAGACAAGATATTTACATCATCCCTTCCCACAGGAGTGAGAGGTCATGTACAGGGTGGGGCAGGAGATACCCTCACCAGAGACCTCAAAGCAGCTCTGGATCTCACCCAGCACAGCTGCTTCCAGATTCTCAGGGGAACAAAAAAAACATGTTTAGGCCCTAGAGAAAGGGTATAGTTCACTGACTAGTAGGGAGGGGTCTTGTCTGACCTCTGGTTCCAGCTGTGGTTTTTCAGCAGAACAGCAACCACTTCTGGCAGTGCTTCTAGGGGCACTGGTCTCAGAGAGAAAAACACAGGCACCCCTGATCCCAGCGGTAGTTACCCACACTCAGACACCTCAAACTACACATAGTCACAGACACACCCCGGTCACTGAGGAACCACACACTCACCGACAAAGCTGGCTGTTCTGGGACTAATACAGCCATACAGGCAGACTCCTGGACAGCTCACACCCAGACCCACGTGCAAGCATTCCCACCCCTCCCTCTGGAGCAGGGGTTCTGGGTCACGCTGGCCACCAAGCAGAGGGGTGCGCCTGGGCGGGGCTGAGAGGCTGACACGTGGCACCCCGGGACAGGGTGGTGGGTGTGGAGCCTGGGGGCGAGGGTGGAGTGGGGGTGTGGGGGGCGGGGGCCGAGGCACTCGGGAGACGTGAACAGCGCGCCTCCCCGCGCCACGAGGCTGGGGCGAGCGAGGACAATAAGGGAAGCTGGCTGGGGGCGGGCGGAGGAACCCAGGCGGGGGAGCGGAGAAATGGGGGTGGGGTGAGATGGGGTGAAGCCAGGCCGGGGGCTGGCGGCCGGCGCCTCTCTCACCGGTCCTGGGCTGGGATCTGGGGCCGAGCTTGGGCTGCCCCCGGGGAGGCCGGGGCCCGGGGTGGGGGGCTGCGCGCCCTCCTCTCACCCGGCGCTCGGGGCTCAGCAGGGGACGCCGCTCCAGCTCCAGCGGGGCTCCTGGCTCCGGTGGCTGCGGACGGCTCCGTCCCCCATGGCCCGGCCCCACCGCCTCCAGCCACCCGGTCAGGTCAGCGGGCCCCGCGGCCCCCAGGCCGCCTCCCGCCGCCGCTGCTGCCGCGGGCCATGGAGCCGAGCCGCCCCGGGGGGGCAGGGCGGGGCCGGGCAGCCCCACCGACCGGCGGACCGAAGGACCACAGCGCCGCCGCCTCCCTCCCTCCCGCGCTACGGCGCCTCGGAGGGGCAAGGCCGGCCCGGCCGGCGCGCCCGCGCCCGCGCCCGCGCGCGCGCTCCCGTCCCCGCGTCCCCCGCCTCCAGCGCGCCCGCACGCGCTGCGCCGCTCCACGCCCGCCCCGCTCGGGGACGAGCGCGCCCAGCCAGGCGAGGCCGAGGCGGGAGGGGCCCGCCAGCCCGCCAGCCCGCCACCGCTGGCTTCCGAGGTGGGACGAGAGAGGGCGCCAACTGGCCTAGCCCCTTAGCGGAGAGTCGGGGACTGGAGGATGGACGGAGGCAGCTCGGGGGCTAGGGATTTTGCAGCCAGTTCCTGGGAGCCTGTGCAGAGGGGGCTGCCCGTTGGGCATTCCCTTAAAGGCATGGATGGGGGGGAGGGGTGGCTGAGGTTTCTGGGGAAACTGGAAGTTGGGTAAGATTAAGAGAAAATCAGAGATTGGACCGGAGTGGGCGGAACTGAGTCAGGGCCCTGAGAATTGGAACTAGAATAGGGGTTGCCGGGAAGGAATGGGCTCAGGAATAGGACTGTCAGAGACAGAAGAGAATTGGCTGGGAGTCCCACCATAGGGGGTGATGATGCCTGAGGAAGGAGCCAGCTAAACAACTGTGTCAATTTGGGCCTAGTGAACAGGGCCACTGAGGACATAGGGATAGGAGAACTCCAGAACCCCGGGCTCTTCCATGAAGACCTCCAGGATTAGCCTAGCACCTTTTCCTCCCCACCCAAGAGCTAGCTAGCTTAGTCAGCAGTGGAGATGGTGTGTCCAGAAGGTGGCAAGATGAAGTGGAGTCATATGGGCCCTTTACCCTTTCTCTGTGAAGGTGGCGCAAGATGGCAAAGAAGCTGCATTAACCCAGACAAATAACACGTTTATTTCACAACAACGGAAAGATGGGTAAGGGTGGAAGTTGGGGCCACAGGTGCACAACTGTACACAGTCACCATCAACAGCCCACTTCTCACACTGAAGATGCAGCCTGGACTGTGGTGCCTCTAAGTCAACAGGCAGCAAAAAGGTGAGTGCAGAAGGGCCCTGAACACCAAGGCCCCTGGAAGGCTAAGAGGTACAGCTCCAGCTATCCCAGGAAAAACAGCAATAAATAAGAGCAGGGCATGGCCCCACCCACCAGATCATCTAGTCACCCATCTTCACTTTGGAGGTCTGAAAAAGAAGAATGGGAGAAATCAGACAGGGGTAGAAGACCATTGATAAGACAGTGAACAAGACCTGACCCAGCAAGTCTGTAACCCAATAGACAGACAATAGATGATGACCAGACAGCAGACAAATGAACAAGGACAGCCAGATAAAGAGTGTGGAACAGATAGATGGAGCGAAGTGGCATATAGTGTCAAGTCAACGCAGTCAAGCACCTCATCATTTGGCCCCTCAAGCTGATCCTTTAGGTCATAAGACATACTGTCTTGACAACCATGTCAGACACAGATACAGGCCTTGAGAGAAACAGGTCAAGACGCACTGACATAAAACAAGATCCCAACCCAATCCAGACCACAAAGACATCATCTGTATTTCCAGAGTCAGCAGCAGACAGGAAAAGGATAACAGATAAAAACAGAAAGAGGGTCTAAATGAGAGAAACACACAGCAACAGAGACAAAAACAAGGAGAAACAGGAGACTGGAATGAGGTGGTGGAAGCTGTTATGGGTAGAGAGGGAAGCACTTTCAACTCCTCTGTAAGGAGGGTAAGGCTGAGAGGGGGTAAGGACAAAGACTCCCCAATGGGATCTGGCACCTGAAGGATTGCGACGATGACCCCAAAGAGGCCGATGGCACTGCCAAAGATCTCCACGATGAGAACTTTTACAAAGAGGCTGGGGTTCTGTGCGTCGGCCAGGGCGGCCCCACTGCCCACGATGCCCACGCAGACTCCACAGAAGAGGTTAGACAGACCCACTGTGAGGCCAGCCCCAAACATGGAGTAGCCTAGGGATAGAGAGTTGCTCACTGAGACCAAGCCACATACAGGAGGGATGAAGACAGGGCCCAACATGGACTAACAGGACCAATCCCACCCCAACTCTGCAAAGCAGACCAAATAGCTGAGAGAGTATCAAAATGGGAGTCCAAGCTGGGAGGCAGGAGCTCTTTAGCTCTTTAGCAGGTATGAAGGCCCAGCTTTTCACCTTTAGACACCCACCCACCTACTCACCTGCGTGGTAGTTTCGATAGCCAATAGCTTTGGGGTCAGTAGCACTGAAAGGCTAGGGGAGAGCAGGCAAAAAAAAAAAAAAAATCAGAAACCATCCCTTATGCACCCACTTCCCCTCCCTGCAATCTCTACACAATGTGTAAAACACTGGAATGGATAACCACCCCTCACCCTGGTTTTCCTTACCTCAGCCATGTTGCTAATGACAATCGCCATAATAATGCCATAGATAGCCACAGCCTCACAGAATATGATACTGGCAGTGGTAAAGGTGGGTGAAGAAGAGAAGAGAAAAATATAAAAAAACAGCCTCCTGAAAGTCCTCAACCTTTCTTCTACTCACATCCCACCCTGTTGAGAGACTCATCAGAAGCAGTATGCCATCAAATCAACCACAGCTCTTCCTCCACCAAGGGCCCTTACCTGACTAGGTTCTTGGTCTTGATCCTGGGGGCTTTCACCCCTCCGCCAATGATGGAGGAACCAGTAATATAGATACCCCTGGTGGAAGGAGAAGCAACTAAGGAAAGGCTAAGACACTGCCCCGTGGATGACTAAGAACCAAATGATACCATTTGCAATGACTCAGCCCCTCCCCCCAAGTCCACCATCCCAACACTCACCAGGCTGCCCCAACCACAGACAAGGAGATTGCTAGGCCAATGCCCAAGTTCGACCACATGAAGGGGGAAGTCTCAGTCAGGAACCTGGTGTCGAAAAGGGAAGAATAACTCAGCTCTTGTTGGAAAGGGGACACAAACCCCACCAGCTCACAAGCTGCAAAGATAGCTTTCAATCTCCTGAAGGCCCATGGTGTGGGGCAGGGGCTCAGACCACAGAGAGAAGCCGCTGTTAGGGGAATCCACTCCCTGCCCTCCCTTACCATGCCACATCGAAGCGGAAGCCCAAGTCAAAAATGGTGTAGCAGATTCCTGCAGCAGTGAGAAAAAGGATGAGGGACTGCTCTCGGGAGAAGCTCCCCAACCTAGAGATGGACTGTCCAGTTGGCGACCATCTAATCTACATTCAAGACAAGGAAGTGCTCGGGCTAGCCCCCAAGTGAAACATATCCTTCTGCTCAGTCCTCCGTTTTTCTGCCACTCCCTCTAACATAGTTCCCTCAATGTCACAAAGACCCTTCACAGACGCGTAGGGCAGGTCTGAAAACCCTGGAGGCCAGGAGGGAGCAGTAAGTGTGGGCCAGACTCTGCCAGACCCCACCGGATCCCGCCGGCGCCGCTGTTTACCCAACATGCTGTGAGGAATGACAAGGGGGAGGGGAGACGGTGTAAACGATGGAGAAGGGGAACCAGAGCGGCCGGCTGAGACCCAAGCAGGCTGGTCGCGAGCAAGAAAAGGGACGGAAGCAGTACGATGCTATGACAGGACCCGTGGCTCCCACCTGCCACCGCCCGAACCTGGCCTCCACAGCGGTCGGGGGCTCCAGCAGGTGGAAGGCAGGTCCGGGAGGCCAGGAGAGAGGCGCCGGGGCCTGCTGCTCCTGCCACCGCAGCCCCGGTGCCTCTAACCGGTCGGCTCGCCCCGCCGCTGCCCGCGCCCGCCCGGGCCCGGCCTCACCCACGACAGCCATGCAGGCCCAGAAGGCCACGAAGACCCCGGAATACAGCAGCACTAGCCCCGACATGGTGGCAACGACGGCGGGGGTAGGACTGGTGCAGCCAGAGCTAACCCGAGTCCCAGCGTCCACCTTCCACCCGCAGTCTACACACCCGCCCGCAGCGTCACCTGACGTGCCCACGTGACTCCGCGGCACCACGTGACCTCCACCGAGCCCCTGCGTGCTGCGTTTCGGGCTAGAGCTTGGCGGCGGCGTCCGACAGGCGCAGAGCATTGTGGTACTTGTAGTTCCGCCTCAGGGGCGGTTCTGGCGCCCTCTTGCCAGGTTCCAGCTCCTGTGGGTCTCTGGCCACCATCGTCCTTTTCAGTGTTGGGCTGTTTCTTCTGTGCGCAGCCTATTGCCTGGCTAACACCAGCTGGTTCTCAGTTCTTCCCTACTGGCAGCTGTGTTGGCACCCAACTGTATATATCCCTAGTATGTACTGTTAACACTCAGTAGTGATCTCCGTGTGTCAGCTCTGAGTTCCCATTATGCCCCGAGATCCTTGTAAGGCCTTGTCACTCCTAGCTGAAATGCCCGAGCATTCCCATTTCACTTACAAAAGACAAAATATTAACATTCGCCCGGGTGCTGGTGATTCACACCTGTAATCCTAGCTACTCATGAAGCTGAGAACTGAGGATAGTGGCTCAAAGCCAGCCCGGGCAGGAAAGTCCACAAGACTCTGACCTCCAGTTAACCACCAGAAAACTGTAAGTGGCGCTGTGGCTCTGGTGGTAGAAGGCTAGCCTTGAGCTGAAGAGCTCAGGGGCAGTGCCAAGAGTTCAAGCCCCATGACCAACAACAACAAACACAAAAAAACAAGATTCTATCTATATAGCGTCCCATGCTCCCACCCAGGGTGGGAGTGAAGGTGGGGTACTTTGGGGTGAGTTGGGGCACTGTGGGGTGATCTAAGGCTGGAACCCAGGATTTCTGGCATGCTAGGCAAGCATTCACCACTGAATTGCTTCCCTGGGCCCCTAATACTCCACTCTCTGTGGCTGCCCTCTTGCCTCAGCTACCTGTTATCATACCCTACGTGTCCTTGCATCTGTTCTCTCTGCTTCTAATTAGCCATCTGGTTTTTTTCTCTGTGACTTCTAGTCTCTGCTCACTTTCAAAGGCTTTATCTGACCATCCTATTTAATACTGTAATGCCCATCTCCTTGAACACTCCTTTTCTGCCCAGCTTTGTATTTCCTTGGATGGCTTACTTATCACAACTGGCTATACTAAATATTGTATTCTGTCTACCTCTCCTGAAAGAATGTAAGCACCGACACAGTGGGTCCTCAATACATTTGTAGAACATGATTGATGCCCACTTTGTTCCAGTTTCCACAGTTAGTACAGTTTGTCTACCATTAGACAAAGTCAGGGAATTAGATTTGGACAATGCTAGCATATAAGAAGATTCTCAAGAAAAACAGAGAAGAATCAGTCATTTTTTTCACTTCACTTTCTCAAATTTTATGGTCTAGCAATTCTTTTTTTTTTTTGGTCCGGTCGTGGGCCTGAACTCTGGGCCTGGGCGCTGTCCCTCAGCTCTTCAGCTCAAGGCTAGCGCTCTACCACTTGAGCCACAGCACCACTTCCGGCTTTTTTCTTTTTGCTTATGTGGTGCTGAGGAATCGAACCCAGGGCCTCAGGCATACAAGGCAAGCGCTCTACCACTGAGCCACCTTCCTAGCCCTAGCAATTCTTTATTTATTTATTTTATTTTTTTGGTAAGTCGTGGAGCCTGAACTCTGGGTCTAGGCACTGTCCCTCAGCTCTTCAGCTCAAGGCTAGCACTCTACCACTTGAGCTACAGTGCCACTTGCAGTTTTTTTCTGCTTATGTGGTGCTGAGGAATTGAACCCAGGGCCTCATGCATGCGAGGCAAGCACTCTACCACTGAGCCATTTTCCCAGCCCACAATTCCACTTTACTTAAAGCACCCACCATGTCAGTTGATGGATGCCTGTAATTAAGCCCAAATGCTTTTTATTGTTTTGGGTTTGGTTTTTTCCCCCTGGCAATTATTATTATTTTTGTTGGTTGTGGGGCTTGAACTCTGGGCTTGGGTGCTGTCCCTAAACTCTTCAGCCCAAGGCCAGTGCTCTTCCACTTGAGCCACAGCACCACTTCTGGTTTTCTGATGTTTAGTTGGAGATGAGAGTCTCACAAACTTTCCTTACCTGGCTACCTTTGAACTATAATCCTTAGATCTCAGCCTCCTGAGTAGCTAGGACTACAGGTGTGAGCCACTGGTGCCTGGGTCTCCTGGCAATTATTTTTTACTCTACAAGAACCATCTTAGCCTTGCCTGAGTCTTCATCAAATGCCTGCTATGAGATCCACCTACACCTGGGATTCCCTCTTCACAGATATACTGTTTCACTAGTTGGTCACTGCCTATTTAATTCTCTCTCTCTTATTTTTTGATTGGTCATGGGGCTTGAATTCTGGGCCTGGGTGCTGTCCCTCAGCTCTTCAGCTCAAGTCTAGCACTCTACCACTTGAGCCACAGTGTTCTGGTTTTCTGAGTGGTTTATTGGAGATAAAGAGTCTCACAAACCTGCCCGGGCTGGGTTTGAACCATGATCTTCAGATCTCAGCCTACTGAGTAGCTAGGAATACAGGCCTGAGCCACTGGCTCCCGGCTTAACTCACTTCTGAACCACATTAAGGCAGGAATCTAGTTAAATAAAATTCAAATCTGCACCCATAGGATCTGTACATGGCCTGACTATTGGATGAATAAAAAGAAACAGGAGAAAAAGTATTTGGCTTATTTGAGTTTCTGTGATGTCCCTGGGAAAACAAGCTTTGAGTCAAAGTAGACCAGCATTATCCAATAGAACTTTCTGTAACAGAGATGCCCGTTAGCTGTGCTGTCCCCTCATGCAGTTATTTGAGTACTTGAGATGTGATTAGTGTGACTGAGAAATAGAGGTTTTAATATATTTTATTGAAATTAAAATGGCCACATGTGTCTAGTGAATGTTATTCTGGACAGTATAGTCCTAGACCAGTGGGAGATCAGTAGAGGCATAACTACTGCTGGTTATGTCCCTAAAAAGGACATTCCCATTGTCTGGAGACACTACCCAGACTAAAATGTCAACAGTGCTTAGGTTGTGAAATCTTGCTTTGAACCATCTAACACATCTGTCCCTTAACAAGGGCAGATGGTCACCTGTAGATGAAGAACTGTGTGTGACTGGCTAAAGGTCTTATGTTGTGCTCACAACAGATGGGCCCAGAAGGCCTCTGGGAAACCCCTAAGCCCTTTTCCCCATCAAACAACGCATTTACTGAGCCAATATGAGCTAAGCCTCTCAGTACCAGGAGAAGAGGACATGGATTCTGTTTTCAATGAGGGACCATTGACATCTCTCCATTCAGGCTCCTTCAAGGATCTTGGAGCATTAAAGATCCCAACAGAGACTCTTAAGTTTGTGTGTCTGGTCTACAGTATCAACTGCTTCCCTCATTCTCATAGGCAATGGCAATCCCTCGTCTTCCACTCACAGCTTCTGTCACAGGAGTCTGACCCAGGCATGGCTCCAGGCCCTGCCAGCTCCGGGAATTAAGGAATGAGGCTGTAGAGAGAGGGAGCATAGTCTAAGTCAGCTGGACTTGGGGAAGAGCCCAGCAGGTGGTGGAGAGCTGTACACTTACCTGCAGGGCTGCTCTCAGCCAGCTGCAGTGAGGGCCGAGGGGTCAGGGCAGAGCACCCAGGATCATTTGATGACTTCCAAGAAGGTGGGGGTCGGAGCTCCCCAGAAATGAGTGACACATCTGGGGTGTCCCACAGCTCTGACTCAGGTGGTGGGAGAGGCACATGGAAAGGAGAGCCTGGAAGGGAGAAAAGAAATCAATACTGGTTCCCAGACTCTATATCCCAAGTTTCTGTCAGGAGTGTCCCATCACTCACCAGGTAACAAGTCTGCATAATGTGTGAGGTATGGAGTCAGGCCTGGAGGTGGCCAAGCAGGGTTGCAGGCAGCCTCCAACTCACATGGTGTCAAGATAGGCCGGAAGAAGCTCTCAGAAGGATACGGGGCTAGGGCACCCAGAGGACAAGCCAATAGCACAAAGACATCCATCTCAGGGAAGTTGGCAAGTTTGGCAGGGGTGGGCCGTCCCAGGGCCAACACATAACTACGTTTGCCTGCAGCCTGAGTCAGGTTCCTCAAGTGTGCCAGTGCTTCACGGTGTCGGGCCACACCCAATGTGCCTACCAGCAGCCCTACCACACGGGCATCTCTGGCCCTCTCTACCAGATACCGTCTTCGTGCTCTTAGCCGTCCAGCCCGGGCACTCTCATCCTGTATCTGTCCTGTGTCTGGGCAGCAGGAAGAGAAGGGCTTCCCTGGTGCCCACCCTAAAAGCAGCCTGCTCAGGTCTGGGTCAAGATCAGGGTTGGCCTCAGAACCCCCCACATAGAAAGCACCATATTCTTCCAGTCTCCTCCCTGGGGCTAGAGGAAAGTGACGCCCAAAACACTCCAGAGGCTCAGACTCTGGATTGGAAGCCTCAACTGGCAGATGAAGAGCTGGACTAGAGACAAGCAGATCTTGATACTTTGGGCGCAGGAGAGTGGCCAAGGCCTCTGGAGGAAAAAAAGGAATGTAGTATCAGGGTTGAGGCCTAGAAAAATACAAGATCCCTTATCCCCAGGAGACTGGTAAACAAAGGCTAGGCCAACCCATGTCAAGAGCTCTACAGGAGTGTACTGAAATGGGAAATTTCATGGCCTATCTTTCCTTTCTATACAGGCATAATCTCTCACCCAGGGCATGGGCACAGGCTGGCTCGCTCAGCAGTACCACAGGTGCTGTGGGGTCTGGGTTCTGGGCTTCAAAAGCCTTGGCACAGAGCTCCAAAGCCACAAAACGTTGACCAAGGATGAAGGCAACAGGCAGTGGTCGAGCTGGAGGGCTTAAACAGGCAGGGCCAAAGTGTACAAGGGCCTGAGCTCCAGCTTGCTCGGCACCCAGCACATCCACACAGCAGCTGCAGGAGAGATACCATCGTGAGATCTGTTCCCACCCCAGATAAGCTGTCACCAATGGGAACTATGGTCAGTGAGAGGAGTCACTGTCATTATCCTCACCGTCATCACCACCACCACC